TCAAAAAGCCTAACGTTTCTGAATCAAGTAGTCAATTTGGTGCTCTTGCCAAGGAGCTGAAAAGACAAGACTGTCCACAATATGCAGGTTTCTGCAGTCTGGCCAAAGCAAGGTGTGAAAATACGCTCTCAAACGCGACCGGGGAAGTCGAAGCACTTACCGAAGCGGCAAGATTGTTTTTAGAAGCGGAGAAGAACTGCGTAGAACTTAAATGCCCGGCGTTCGAGGAACACTTGACTGAAGCAATACATTTGTATAATCAAGCCATTAAGATCCACTGTGCCCAAGGGAACCCGGCTTTAGGGGCTTGTTTGTGTCTGGAGATAGGAGACGCCTTGAGATACATGAACCGGCCCCACGAAGCTATGGTCCACTATCAGCATGCAGCGGAGTTACAGCATCAGAATCCTATAGATGCTCTGCAGTCTATGACTTTAGTGGCATCATGTAAAATTGAGACAGGTAGATAATTTAACCTGAGGCATGTTAAACAATCCACCCTATTAATGGATAATGGAACAGTTTCACTTACTTAAAAGTGGTTCTTAAATGTTGTTTTGATCAATGTTATGAATGGTTCAATTCTATTTGTTCCAGACCAATACACCACCCCCCACCCCCCATCCCCACCACCATTACCACCACCACCAAAGGATACACCTTTTTTCTTACATGGCAGTCTATTCCCTCCCCACCCCCATAAATGCAGAAAGGAAGAATTCCCCACCCCCTGGGCTCCTCATCAACCACACATCCTTTGTTTTGATAACAACAATAATTGATTTCCATATAGCAAATCAAGATGTTTTGTAATAATTTGATGACAGCATTTTAAGTGAAATTGTCCCAGGTTTGTATATCATAAAATACAGGACTGAGATCTCTTTTTTTAAATAGGCCATACATCCATTTTCATTAAGATATTATATTTCCTTCCTCTCTACTTGTAGGGAGGGCGGAAATATAAAAACATTGGTGGTTTGGGGTAGGTTTTCCAGGAGTGGGCATTAGAAAAAGGGCAAGTAGGCTCACTCAGTTGTTTCAAAATTTCTCGGATTCTGTGGCTCATGCAACCATTTCCCCCCCTATTCAAATTCTTTCCCATTGGCTTCTTTAGTTGAGATGCAACCAGAATAGACTAAGGTTATTTGTGTTTCAGGTGATTTTGACGGTGCTCTATCTGTGCTAACTGAGATGGCTTATTTTGCTGAGGAACGTGGATCTGTGAGCCAGCCCCATGGCAAGTTACAAGGTCCGTATCAAGAAATCTTAGCGCATTGTGAAATTGGACGTGTCCTTCTTCTTATGTTACTGCAGCCCACACCTCAACGCATTCGTCCTCAACATGCTCAGATACTTGAGAAATACTCTGAAGGCAATGTCACTGGGCACCCTGTAGAATTTATGAACAAAGATTTGTTTCTGTTGCTGCAGTCTGTTGTGATGGTTTGTCAGGAAGGAGATGCATGTGCTCTGCAGGATCTTGAAAAAGATCTATGGACTTATCTCAACCCTGAGCAACAGCATCTTCTACATTTGATTACCCTAAAAATGTCAAACAAGGAACACTAAGGCAACTTGTAGACTAGCTTGCATAGCGTATGCTTGGAAGTAATAAGCGAAACAGAACAGGATGTGTGACAGAGTTATGTGAGGGGAGAGGGAACACCTGCAAACAAAATGATGTTTTGCCAAACATTTTCTCTGATCTAACCTGATAAATACTATCAAACAGAAATTATTAAGATACATTTATTAGTTATCAAAGTTTTTCAGAACCAATAAAATAGTCATTTTCAAGTAGAGTAGAATAATATTATTCAATAATATGATTATTGACAGTGAATGCCTCCCACAACTTGGATTTGGAAAAGAGCATAATAAATAGCCTTCAAGCAAGCTCTCAGTTTGAGGGAGTCCCAAAAGGAGCAGTGCACGAAAGGAGACATGAGTTCCCATGGCTTCGTTGCACACTCACACATTGTCTTGTGGCTTTGCTTCAGGCTACGTTATTACAAGAAGTTATGTGGGCCATATTGGTGTGTAATAAGCCAATCCTGTGAGAGTTAATATAAACTCTTTTCTTACATCGGCACTCTCCAATCTTTTGATCCAATAAACTAACATAACCATAGCTCAGGTAATTGAAAATAGTACATACCCAACTCTCATGCAAGGATTTAGCTAAGAAAAAGCTAAGCAGGCTTTGTTTTTAGTCAAGCTGGCTTTTTTACTCAACTGCTCAGTGTTCCCCTCAATTTTAGCTCAGCATGTAAGGAGCCATTCATGGCCAGTAAGGCAAAAAAATATGCACCAGAGGTGCATTTTCCTGGGAAGGGGGGGGGGGAAGGGGGTAGTGGAGTGAGGGACATGGCCCCGCCCTCACTGGGAAATTTAGGAGCTACGTTCTCTGAAACGTCACTCCCTTATTTAAGACCTACCGTAAAATTCCAAAAATTAGCCCCTCCAAAAATAAGCTCCCCAAACTCGTAATACAAAAACACCTCCGTTATATTGCCCCTCCAAATATAGGCCCCTGGGGGCTTTTACTTGGAAATTGTCCTCAAATACAAAAAACAAACAAACAAAGCAAAAATGGCACAGTACCACTTAAATTTTTTATTTGCCAAAGAACTATTATGTGTGCCAAAGTGATTAGAGTCAAAAAGTGTTACAGTTTATTGCTGTTTATATAGTTCACTCTTCATTCTTGACTTGGGTTTCTTTTTGTTGAGACTCATTTTTGTGTGTGAACAGTATTCCGTACTTGATCAATGACATTACTCTACCTTAGAACCAAGTATTGCGTTCAATAAATGAATTTGTGGTTGTGTTTTAAGTTTGCATGGCTGAGTTTTAAGAAGATCCATGTCCTCACGGCAAGTTCTGTCGGTAAAAACTTCGTACAAATTACTGACATAAATTTCCTTCCAACTATAAGCTACCCCTATCAATTTTGAGACACAAATTTCCCTCTGTGTATAAGCCCCTTTCGAATATAAGCTCCTCCAAAGATAAGCCCCTCAAAAAGGGCCTTTGAAAAATATAAGCCCTGGGACTTATTTTCAAAATTTTACAGTGTGTCACGCAAATCGGCCATTGTTATCTTTACACAGCAATTCAAAACGTTTGATTTCAAAAATTTTATTCCGTCTTAATGTTCTCTTTCCAAAATGTGTGGCCCATAAAAAGAAAAGCTGTGTATACTTTATTACTTTTCCATATATTCATTCTGGCATTTCCTAGTGAGAATTGGATTGGATCACAACT